CGACCTTAGGAGACAGACATCCGAATAGCAGACGTTTCCTAAACAAAAGCCCTCAGAGGTAAGATAGCATTGTTTAGACGAATTTTGTGAACGGAGAGCGGAAAGCCTGATAAAGGAGTTCCGAAGCCGACGGTGTGGAACAATTCCAACTATGCGAAAGAAATTCGTATGTAAAAACAAAATCATCGGCTCCACTACAAGGCAAGCTATTCGAAGTAATTGCGTGACTGGCAATAAAGCATGTGACGCCGAAAATATGGCTAATTTTGACATAGATGACAACAAATTACCTTATTTTGTATATTGTATGAGCTTGAATCTGTTGACAGCTTTGTACCATGTTGAAATTCACCAGTAGGGAGGCTACTGAATCCATGGTATGACTCTGATTTTGCAGTTCCCTCGGGTGTCAAATGCTCTCTGCCAGAGTTGGTTGCCAAGACAGAAGACGGTGTGGTGTTGGGGTAATAGGTATTCATGTTGCCAAAACGCCAGGCAGATGAGGGCAAACTACAACTGAACATTGAAGAGCTGTTATCCTGAATTCCTGTGGCTGGGGTACCGCCCTGTGGCATGCTCTTGCGTCGCTGAGGTGGCAGGGCGACCGGGCTCGTCTGAACGTAGACACATCCGACTTTTTCGGTGCAGCTTGACATCGACTGCTGAGTAATCCCTCGCTGGGGAAAGAACTGATCGGTCAGACAGCTGGACGGGGTAGTTGACTGCGACAATGAGGATGAAGGATAGGGATGTGGTGGGGCGGGTGAGTGAAGCATCAAGGGTGTGTTGCTGCTATTATTGCTGGCGATTGCTGTATTGCAGTAGTTAATAGGGAGATTCTGTAGCCGGGAAAGCGAAGGGCTGAGAATCAGAGTTGCTCCACCGACTTCAGCACAAAAATGACTACCTTCTGACCAGACTTGATTGCACTCGGCAACAGCATCGCTGACGGCGCTAATGGGAGAGGCAGTCGAAAACATGGATGTTGTGTGACTGCCGCCTAAGCACGATGAAGAGGACGCTATTGAGGAGGTGAGTGCACCGCAGACGTCGTTGGCAGAAGCGTTCTGGAGTTCAATACATGAACTTCTAGAGTTCTCATTCTTCAGATCATTGCAATTGTATTCCGCTTTAACTAGAGCCATGAAGGTAAAGTGGCATTAGTCGAGGATGTATATATCTAACAATCGCGGATGGAAAAGCTGTACTGCGCTCATAAAGAAAGATCATGCCATTTATAGCCGCAAGAAAATAGAAAGAGTGCTTGCTTCAAATAAGACTAAGTTTTCCAGTTTCAGTCCTCTTCGAAATAGGATAAAACAGGCAACCGCGATGGCGATGTGGAGGGTAAATTAAGCGGCAATAACTATATACGCAACTGAGGTTTCTTGTTGAATTTCATTATGGTTGTGGCACCAAAAAATGGAGCACACGACATTTTACGCTAATAATCAAACTCAAGCCTCTATAGAACTCTCAAAAATAAGTTGTCCATTCATTTGAATTTTGTGCCTCGAGACAAAAAAGTGGCTAAAAGCAAAATTTGTTTTTACTTGCGATGTATAAACTCCGGCTCAGCAATATAAAACAAAACATATGAAGCGAAAGACGGCATTTATGATTAACAATAGGGGATACGAACAAATTAATTGGTTTACCTCACCTCTGCCGTATTTACATAAAAGTTATTAGAAAGTTCGCACAACAAACAAACAGAGAATAATGAACTAAGGCGATGAGTGGGTCAACTAATCGGAAAAAAAAACAGGAATTCAAAAGGATTAAATTACGTTGGGGGAGGTTCTCGGAAAAAGCTTTATACTTGCAAGCCTTTTACGGCAGTTTCCTCAATGGCTCCTAAAATGACTGGAGCTGGCGCTTGAATTTCTTTCTGAGTGTGGTATTTAAGTTGCTGGATTATCCCAGGCGCATCGACAGGTACACGGTCCCTCAGGCAGCTCCAAAGAAAGTCCGGCGCTGTCAAATCGGGCGAATGTACTCAAATAACGAAGACTCTCCTTAGTAAATCTGCGTTTCTAGTCTCGTGGCACTGATGGTATGATGCCACAGCGCGCTGTCCGCAACTGTTGGACTTGCAAAACGACCCGGTAATACTTTCTATCGATTGCCGGTGCCTTTTACGACTACCCTTTTAGGTGCTATGCCACACCTAATTGTGACCTTGAAAGGATCCAGTTCATGTCAGTGTTACCCAGTTTTTCACATCTGGGTCAGTTAAAAGTGTGACTGAACTTGCCCAGGTGGTTAGAACGTTGGCTGCGCTTAAGCCTTATCCCTCTGGTCGTGGGTCCAAATCACGCCGACTTTCTTACATAAGGGTCAACTAAATTATTCAAATTTGCAGAAAAATTGATAAGATTTCTGCTTTTAAAACAAGTTTGACGCTTATGCCATGAAGGTACGTGATTTAAAAGAGAAATTCCTAGGGGTTAGCTTGCATGAAATTGTTTCGTGGCAATGTCCAAGTCTACACCCCTCCCAGTTAGCAACCGATTCCTGTTAAGGTTGCAGCAAGGTTATAACACAACTGTGAACTTACTAAAGAAAAATTATACGGGGAAATAGCTATTACTTAATTTTAGAAGGCCTCTGGTCGTGAGTAAAACACTAATAACAACAATAGGAAGTGAACAATCACATCAAGCCTTCAAATGCGAAGAGATAACGGGCAAAACAATCATGGAACTCATACGCATTCCGTTATTTTATCTTATTTAGATGTACTTCTACAAACCAGACTTAGCGTTAGGCAACAGTTATTTACGCCAACTGCTCAATAAATCTGTTCTGGGGTTGTACAAAACGTGGTGGATATGAGTAAGGTGACGAATCGGTACTTACTTGTTGCACTTGAACTATCTGCTGGAAAATCTTCCTCACCATTAAGTGGAGAGAAATTTTCAAAAGTGCTGGGGCAGTTTAAAATGGAGTCAATCAAATCGAAACCAGATGAGTCTTCTGCCCAGGTCATGTTAGAGCCATTATTTGTGGTCGGTCGGGACACAGTAACTAGTTCCATAAGCTCTGGATTGAATAGGCCCATAGAAAGAGCCACTTCCGATGGTAGCGACATCGAGTTCGGTGCCACGGGGGCAGGTGAGACCGGTTGAGGTTGGCCTAAGGATGCGCTCTGCATCGAGGAGCCGAGAGTCGGAAGTTGGTGGAAATTCATCGGAGCTGTGGGTACCTAAGAATAAACACAGGCAATGGGAGGAATTAAGAAGATAGAATGAAACCGGCGATTTCAGTGAAGAAAGATTAAAACTGATGTATTTAAACTAAAGTGTATGTAAAAAGATACACCTGCTTTCACCCTGCTGACAAAATTGGATTCGCTAATTAAAAGACCGCGGATCGGATACTGAAAATATGACTTACTCTATGACTGGCACGAGCTTCTATCAAGTTGTCAATACCAGACTCCTTGAAGTGACGCAGGCGGATAGCAAGAGGCGTACTTAGTCAGACAGACAGACAGACAGGCGTACTTAGTCCTGATCACCGGTGAATCGGTTTGACTGGCCGATAATGCAAAGACTGCTTGCCTTCGTGGCGATCCGAACTTCAGAGAAACGTGTAATCTGCACGATGCGACCACAAGAAACCTAAGGGTAAAACTTTTCGACATCGCAACTGTGCCCCAAACTACTGCTTATACCAGGGGTCTGTATGGGATCTTAAAAACGAATCAGCTCTGTAATCTGTCTGCCCTTTCAATCATCAACTAGGATGCAATAATAGTCTTCAGGTCCAACACGACATTCCAGGGAAAGGATTATTTAATACAAATGTTCAATCGAACAGACACCGCCCCTCCGGTGGCTATCTAGTTTTAAAACTACCCGACGCCCAAATGTGTCCGCGACTGCGGTTTACCATCAACAGAAGATATTCTTGGGCCAATAAGTACGCACGAGAGCAATCTGAGACTGTGCTTCTACCCATTTAGATTTCCCTTGGTGGATCAAGTTGCATGGTGGCATGCAGTTGAAAGTATTATGTTTGATGGAGGCCTACTATCAAAGAAAAAATCAGTCTCAAAAAAAGGAGAGGAGGGACTTCATCGAGCTCATCTTTGGCCTCGGTCGGCGATGGGTCCTACCAAATCTAATAAACTATGTGATGGACTGAGCTTCTCAATACCTGTTCATAAACTCTTCTAAAAACGTGTCAGTAGTCAACAAATTTCTGTCTGAATAGTCTAACTGATACGTGTAAACGTCAAGGGTGGTCAAGGCACGGCTGTAAGTCGGTTAGAAAATTAAACTGCGCATTGAATTAGCACACAAACGCACGCCTACCGACGCAATTTTTACTAAAATTATGAGGGCCTGTGCGGCGCGCAAAAAATTAACACATCACTTTTTGTGTGAGCTTCCTGCAGATGAGCTTGAACTCAAAGAGCAAGCTTCCTAAAAATATACTGCTGTCGGCTACAGAAGCAAGGACATTAGGCTTAGATGTTTTTAAAATTCGAATTAGGGTCAAAAAAACGCGATGTGCCGGTTCTAATGTTCGTAATGAACATGAGAAGTCTACCGGTGACGATAAGATCTCTATTCGTCAGAAGAGGTCAAAGTGTTCTGTCCAAGTGGATGGAAAAAGTAGTCAATAAAGTTATCTACTTACTCTCAGGGATGTAAAATTTTTAAAAGTTATATGTGAGACCCAAGTGCTGGCTACGGGGTCAGAAAATTATGCACTGCAAGTTGATAGTAGCAAATTAGGAGTCTAATGAGCAAATCCTGTAAATTTACTCATAATGACGGCAGTTTGATCTTCGCAAGCGACGTCTACCACGTACCCTACGGAATGAGCATAGCAACGGTGACTTGTGCATCAATAATATTATGAGGCGAAGTTGCGTTGCATCCACCTTACCATTTCTTACCTTACCCACTTTCCCCCCATGGCAAAGCAGTGTCATTAGGACTGGAAGTGGGGGCAGTGGCCAGAGTGGCAGCTCGTCTAAGCGTGCCACACACAAC